GCGTTTTTGATGTTTTTGTTCCTGTCGAATTTCTTCGTAATGGTTTCACAGAATAAAAATTTCTTTTTCACAATTAAAATGTACACGCTAATGTATTTGTCGCTGGTGTATTTTGTGTTCAAAGTTAGAAAAAATAAAAAAATACAAATTCCTTTATTCATTTTACCTTCAGCGTTGGTCGCCATACTGAGATAAAAATGGATAAAGAAATCTGTAATTTTTTATTTTTTCCAGCTTTGAACACAAAATACACCAGCGATAAATACATTAGCATGTACATTTTAATCGTGGAAAAGGAATTTTTATTCTGTGAAACCACTACGAAGAAATTCGACAGGAACAAAAACATTAAAAATGCTAGTTTTATCGGGCGGTTTTAATACAGGCGGCTCCAGCATCCCCTTAAGATTGAAGATTGAAGATTGAAATTTGACCAATAAGGACAAAGAAATTTTTTAGCTCTTTTCGTTTCGATTGGTCAAATTTGAATTTATCAATCTTCAATCTCAATCTTCAATGCGTAGTCTGATTCCGGCCTAAGGATGTCGGTAATAGTATCTCGTCGGTGCCCCTACAGCACAAAGTTGCACAAACGTTGCAGTAACACTGCTGTAACATTGAATGTTACAGCAATATTGCAGAGCTTTTGCAGCGATATTGCTGCAAATTTTGTGCTGTATGGGTTATAACACTCTCTCCTTCGATTTTTCTGTATTTCTGTAAATTTGTGTATTTTCCTGGGCAGAATATATTCTGAGAAGAAAAATAGTTGCTCAAGTCCCGCTCTTTTTAATTTTAAAATTTCTTGATGTCGGTAATTATAATCCACATAAAAGAATGAAAAGGTATGAGTTTTGAACCACAAACTATTTTCTGCTACAATTTAAGTTATACAGGAAAATAATTTTTACTTCTAATTAATTAAAGCAAAGAAATATGTAAATAATAATTACAAATTATCATTAAATTATCATTTTCTAACTTACCGATTTTCATCGAGCTTTTTTCATATTCCTGTTCATAAAGCCAATCATGTTTCTCGATATTTTTCCGCTCCATGATATTTTACACCGCATATAAAATACATTCTAGAAATTGACGAATATAACTCGAAGTGGCGTTCTCTGAAGAAGTATAAACAAATTATTAACACAGTAAAAATACATGAAAATGCAAAAAAAGAAAAATTATTCGCGACATTAGACTTGTTCTTTTTGGCCGAACTTTTGCACCAGTTCATCTTTCTTCCTCTTCTTTCTTCCTGGAGAGAAAAAGAAGAAAGATGAATTGGTGCAAAAAGTTCAGCTAAAAAGAATAGGCCTATTGTGTAGTTCCTCGATGCAAAACATTAAGTGATTGAAATGCTTTAGAATGATTTAATTGATTTAAATATCATTTTGAATGATTTAAATGCCATAGTTCGTTATATTCGCGAATATTTCGCACGACCAATGAGAGAGGTTCTTTTCCTAGAGACTTGAGCGCCACTGAGGGAAGTCTCTACAAAGCGCGCTCTGCTATTGGCTAACGGACACGAGCGCGCGTCGAATGACGCATCGCCTTGCATGCGCATGCGCATTTGCTTTCCATCCTCTGTCGGCGTCTCTCCGTGCCTCGTTTCTGCGTCGTTCATTTTATCTCGAGAAACTTTCGGATGTGGTTGATTCGAAATCCGAAGTAATCCAGCTATTCAAAACTGATCTAGAATCGATTAAAAGAGGAGATGAGAGCTAAGGTAAGCCGTCGTCGACTCCCGTTGATAATTATCGCGTTCCTCGAGCATACGCAATTATTTCACCGTGCAAAATTCACGAGTTGTCGAGGCACCATGGCCTTCGCTTGGGCATGCCGATTAATTTTGTTGACATGACGCCAACGCTGCGTGAATGTTTTCGCGTCGTAATGACGACCTTGTTAATTAACTTGAGCTTGTCATCTTTTTAGCAGCGCTTAAACGTTTTTCTCCTTCCTTCGTTTTATTATACATAACCTCAACTTATATCCTAGATTGTCCTAAAAAATCAGCTCGGTGCGTTATCGATCCATAGATTTTTTCAGCTGAAATTCTTAGGCTAATTCTACAATGTGTTCTTTGTTTCCTGTTTCCTGCTGTTTGTCTCTTGCCTTCTTGATCAAAAAGGCAAGAGACAAACAGCAAAAGAAACAGGAAACAAAGAGCACATTGTAGAAATAGGCTTAGAGTTGAGTTTATCATAGGTAATCTGTTAACTTTTTCCGTAAGCCTAATCATAGTCGATTATTCTCCTCTCATTCGATTGTGATTGGTCAATTCTTACAGATTACGGTCTATTATAAACCAACTCTTAGGCCGGAATCAGACTATGTATTGAATATTGAGATTAAAGATTGAAAGATTGAAATTTGACCAATCAAAACAATAGGAGCTAAAATTCCTTTGTTCTCACTGGTCAAATTTTAATCTTCAATCTCAATCTTCAATGCGTAGTCTGATTCCGGCCTTACATTAAGCGATTTTTGGCGTGATTCAGATATAGCAACCAAACTTACCGCGGCTAAGATTATCTTCATCTTCTGATCCCTGAAGACGAAGATGGTCTTAGCTGCGGTACAGTGTGGTTTGCTATACTTGAATCACGCCAAAAATCGCCTATTTATCTTTCTTCTGTTTTCATTGGAGAAAAAAAGAAGGAAAAATGAATAATGCAAGAAATTCGAAAAAACGGACCAAATATCCTACATAGGACAGAAATTTCTAGCAACATTTGCTATGTTACTGTAATATTGCTGAAACGATATTTATGATATGTGCTGTATGTTCGAACTGCAGATACTGGCTTAGTTTACATTGTGCACTTGATATGGGTACTAACTGGTAACTTTCTATTGAGTTATTTTAATTTCGGCGATACGTGAAGACATAATATATGCATTTAATTAATCATTTTGATGTATACTGTATCAATTTAGTACATCATTCTTTGAATACATCGCTGAAATTAAAATAATTTAATAGAAAATTACTAGTTAGTATCAAGTGTACGATGTAAACTAGACCACTATAAACTTCAGGAAAAGCTAACGATGTGTTTATTTTACAGTGGCGTAAAAAGAGGATGCGGAGGCTAAAGCGTAAGAGGAGGAAGATGCGTGCGAGGTCTAAATAAGCAGTTCCTTTCCACAGTCTCTGTAGGTGTATATTTTATTTGACGCATTGTAGTCGTGCTATTTTAACATTTTTAGACCATTCTTATTTGCTATGTAATGTTTCAGCTGTGGAGAGAACAGACCCGCGACGTTTCACCATTCGACGAACGCTCCTAACTGATTGAAAATCCCTGGGAGACGAATCTTCAATGGACACGTTTTTCGCATTGAGAGAATTTTATACTTGTAAATCTTGTCTGATTAAATACATCAACTACTCAAGACAGAATTTAGTTGGAGGCTTCTGTTTCATCACCCAATGCGTTTCCGTTTCCCCTTTGTGATGATCTTAATCCTGTTTTTTTTCTTTTTACATTGAGAGGAAAAAAGAAAAAATGAACTTGCAAAAAGTTCTGCTAAAAAAAACGAACTTGGAGCAAATGGCCTGCTAATGCAAGTTTATAATATAAATTCTTTGTACAAAATTATCTATTATATATTTTCTTTATGTTTCATCTGTCTGCAGGTTCTACTTTTGCTTGCATAAACTTCTAAAAAATGTCGAAAGAACCGCCTATAAATATGTTGTACGAAAAAAGTATCTTCATACAATATGAACAAATATGAAATAAAGTTATACATATATAAGCTAGAATTTTCAAAAACTTAATAATTACATAGGATGCATAATCTCGTAATTATTCATATTTAATTATTACACAATAAGAAATAAAGGCCTTTAACGGTCAAGCTGAATCTTGATTAATTATTACATTAAATATAAATTATAATTCTAGAATAATAATCATAAATTATGAAATTATCTAATATCCCGAGTATAACCACCTCGGTCATTGGTGATGTCGCGACTTAACCCTAACCTAAGTTTCCAAGCTCAACATGCGTTCGTGCATCTTAAGGAACTTGCTAAGCATACGGCAATTGTCGCGTGAAGCTCCTAGAAGTCATACATCACGATCGTTAACGTATTCATGGCTAAAGCTGACGAGGAGGTTCTCGAGCGACGTGGGGAACGACTGCAAGGACGAGAAAGATGACACGAGCAAGGACACCGATTATAACCTCGCGGGTGCTATGAATATAAAATACAAAGTATTTCACGATGAGGACGCTGACATTATTCTTGACGTGAGCGAAGAGCAGCAAAAGATCCTCCTCGAGGACCTGAACAAGCAGGAGGAGGAAGTTCGTGATCCTTATGCCGATATAAATCTGGAGCGTGAGTAGAAATGAACTACCAACTAGAGAATGGCTATAATAACAATAAAATGTAGATATATGTAAATATAATAACGATGATAAATAGAACATAAATTTAATGTGATTATATTTATTACAAATTTAATGTTATTGTATTTAAGATATTTTTAAGAAAAAATATATACAAGAAATTTTATATATATTTAAATGTATATATATATTAAGGAAGTATATAGTATATAAATATTATATGTAACAAATTGATTTTTATTAAACAAAGATATGAAATTGTTTAAATTTTGTTACAAATTTAATATGACTATATTTGTTATATTTGTAAGAAAATAAATATATAAGAAATTATGTACTTAAATATACAATTTATATTAATAAAATATATATTATATGAATATTATATACAGGGTGTTTCCAAATTAAATCGCAAAACTTCGGGAGCGTGTAGAGGAGTAAAAAACTAAGAAAAAAAGTCCTATAGACATATGCTC